CAGCCCTCTGGGCTTCAATTACGCTTAATAATCACACATTGCTTTAGGCTGTCAATGTCACTGAGTTTCAAACAACCAAAGGGAAAGTGATTTTAATTATTAATACACTTCTGGAGGGAAATGCTCTCTCCTCCGTTGGAATGACACTGTCAAATGGAAATGATGAAAAGCCTTAGAGGTGTTCTAGACACTAATTTTTTTTTCCTTCTTGCTGGATTTCTAACACACAAAATTAGAATCTTTGTCTTCTTAAAAGTGTCTGTCCTGACTTTCCCAGAGGAAGAGGGAGAGACCCATCTGATCAGGGCAGGGATCCATGGTCTATTAAACTCTGGTCTTCAGAAGCTGGAGTTGAGGTCTCACTGGGCCTGTGGCCTGCAACGCCAGCACCCCTCTGGGCTGCTCTGCTTCCTGCATGTGGGAAGGCAGATGGCTCAAGTATTTAGGTCCATGTCACCATATGGGAGACTGGGATGGAGTTCTTGGTTCCTGGCTTCAGGCTGTCCAGCCCCAACTGTTGCCATCTTTCAAGAAGTGATTCAGAAGGTGAAAGATTCCCTCTCTCTCCCTCCCTCTCTCTCTCTTTCTCAATTCAATGCCTGATTTTTTTTTTTTAAAGAAAGCAAGCCTTGTCTTTAGATCTCAAGGGAAATATACAAATTTCAAAATAAAGTTCCACTTATATTCAGAAATATGAAAACCTTGTTTCTCTGGAATTGTGCAATCTTGACTGTAATAGAAGAGGGAAGAGTTGTACAACTTTTCTGGTATTTCAAAGACCTTACCTGGGGTCTGAAACTCATATCTAAGCTACAATAGATATGGAGTACACACCTAGAATGCCAGTAACAGATATGTACCCCAAATAGTGACACGATCAAAGCTTTGCTTTGATAGAGTTGTTATTTACTGTAGGAAATCATACTTGGACATAAAATAATGGATAATCTGACCTGGATATTATGCCACATACAACCTTCTCATGAATGACAATTATTTTTATTTGATAAACTCTGAAGCAATAGGCCATAGGTCAGTGGGCTGGAGGAGAAATGGCATTTTAATTCATCAGTCAGTGGTTTGAACTGATTTTGTTGGCTCACAAAATTAGTGGCATTCTAGAACAATGTTCTAGACCATATTAGCTAGCTGAGGATGGCCTGTGGTTAAATAATCAGGAATTTTGCAAGCTACGATTGCCTTCAATGGGACATGATGGGAATATTTACACCATGGAAATTGGCAGACACTACAAACTGGGGCTTTTTTCTCCTCCTGAGAGCTAATTTAAGCAAACAAAGTAGATCCTAAAATTGGGAAAATATTCTAACTTTCCTAAAAAGTAAAAAAGCTAAGCAAACAATGAATTTGATAAAAAAAAATAAGACCATGAAAATAAAGCCTTTCTTTGCTAATTTATTATAATTCTCAATTCTCAGTGAAACTGTTGTCAAATTTATAATTTTACATTCACTCCAACTGACATGCCTAAAAGGACTTTGTCCTTTCTCTTGGCATTGGGAATGGAGAACAGGATGACTTTGCCTAACCCCAGGAATACACTGTTGGATATCGGGAATGTGGAAAGTTAACGAAAACAAGAAATTATTATGAGATACAGCATGAAAGAAGGATTATTTTTCAAATATTTAAATATAGGTCACAGAGTCTAGTGATGCTCATGGAAATGTTAATTCCACTCAATTCAACATGACAAACATTTATAAACAATGAGCATTTGTTGAATTGAATCAAAACGTTAACATTTAGCCTCCTGTGATATTTCTCTGCAAAAATTAGAAAGTATCCTTAGACTTTAAACTAAATTCCACCCTGAGATGAATGCTAACTTCATAACAAATACGTTCATAAAATATTTATATCCCTAGTCTTATTTCAAGACACCTGTCATTGAATTGCTTAGCAGCTTAGACCAAAAAAAAATGCAGAAATTCTTCCATATTTAAATAGCAGAAGAAAAAGAGAATAGAGTCTCCACACTCTTAGTTCAAGGGGCAGCTAGGAGCACTGACGGTGCCCAGGCTCATTTTTCTGCCACAGAGTGTAGTCTGGCTCTGTAGAAGCAGAGTCCTCACACAGACTTGGCGTACTCTCTCCAGGAGGAGCTGCCACTCTCCCCAGTGCCAGGCCAGCGCCTGTGAGTCGCTGACTATTGAGTGCATCACTGTTTCCTGAGCAATGGTGGCTGATTCGAAGATGGACATGCACCTTACCCAGAGACAATTAAATGTTCCTTGGGATTGTTGAGGAAGAACACTCTCCTGTTGATCTTGAACTTGAACTAGGAGGAATTCAGATCTGACATTCCTCTCAGCCACCTTCTTTCATAGGAATAAACTCAACAAGAAGCAAAGCATGGCTGAAAGATGGAGAGAGATTGAGGCTGGATATTACTTAAAACCCTAGATCAAGAAATTTCAGACATCACCGAAGGCTAGTCTTGTAAGGTGACATAATAAATTATCTTTGTTTATAATACTTTGAGTTAATGTTTCTGTTACCATGAAAACAGTCCTGATATGATACTCACAGGATTCTCAAACTACTTAAACTATAATCACCAGAACTGCTGATTTCTTTTTATTTTTATTTATTTATTTACTTTTTTATTTTTTGACAGGCAGAGTTGACAGTGAGAGAGAGAGACAGAGAGAAAGGTCTTCCTTTGCCGTTGGTTCACCCTCCAATGGCCGCCGCGGCCGGCGCGCTGCAGCCGGTGCACCGCGCTGATCCGATGGCAGGAGTCAAGAGCCAGGTGCTTTTCCTGGTCTCCCATGGGGTGCAGGGCCCAAGCACCTGGGCCATCCTCCACTGCACTCCCTGGCCACAGCAGAGAGCTGGCCTGGAAGAGGGGCAACCGGGACAGAATCCGGCCCCCCAACCGGGACTAGAACCCGGTGTGCCGGCACCGCTAGGCAGAGGATTAGCCTAGTGAGCCGCGGCGCTGGCCAGAACTGCTGATTTCTAAAAGTCTAATGAAAGTGCTGAAGCCATCTCTTTATTTCCTCGCATATCTTTGCCATATAACTTTGCAGTTATTTCTACAACAGATGGTGCTTCCTGTGCCAACACTGGACTTCACCCTATGATGTGTTTTGACCAATGAATGCTGGTAAACACAATGCGATCAGGAGCTCAGAGTGGGCTTGCACAATTGGGCCTGCCTTCTTGGGCTTCTGGCATGGGCATCAGGACAAGAATATGCTGAGCTAGCTCGATGTTCCACGGAAGACGAAAGATGTGGGGATCCTCAGCCAGGGGGTACACACATGCTAGCCAACCTGCAGACCCTGGGAATAAACAAACACTATTCTCAACACTGAGTTCAGAAAGTTTGTGCAACAGAACACTCTCGGCCATTTCACTCCAAATATAGAAAAGGGCAACTGTAGGGAGAAGGCAGTCCGTTGAGTGGCTCACAAGCCAGCTGAGGCACCTGCGTCCCATATCCAAGTCCCTGCGTTTGACACCCAGCTCCAACTCCTGACTCCAGCTTCCTTCCAACACAGCCCCTGTGAGGCAGAGGTGATGGCCCAAGTGACTGGCTTTTATCTACGCACACTGGGAGACCTGGATGGAGTTCCTGGCTACTAGTTTTGGCCTGAGCCCAGCCTTGCTACAACAGACATTTGGGTAGTGAACCAGAGGATGGGAATCAATCTCTCTCTCTCTTTCTCTCTCTCTTCACCCCTCCTCTCAAAAGGAAAAAAATGTAAAGAAACAAACAAAAAACAGAAATTGTTGTAAGTCTCTAGGAGATACTTCAGGCTTTTGCCAGTGATGCATGAACAAGGAGTGAAGTAGAAAGGACTAGCCAAACCAGAGATCACCAAAGCTTTTGCCCGTAGTGGCCAAGCTGGTAAAAAATGATAATTAAAACTCATGACAGGCATACCATATACCAGGAATTGTTCCAAGTGCTTTACATATATTAATTCACTTAATCTTCACAAGACTGTTTGAAATAGATTCCGTTACCATTTCCATTTCATAGGATGAAACTGAGGTGCAGAGAAGTTCAGCAACTTGAAACTTGCCCAAATCAAATAGCTTGTAAATGGTGGGGCTAGGCTTTAAGTCCTCTGTGTCTGCATCTCCATGAACATAGGCAACAGGCTAGGGAGGAAGTGGTGGGGATTGTGGCTCTCCATGGAGTGCTGACTGTGACTATGTGGGAGTGAGAGCCTTCCAATCCTTTAAGAGAAGCCAAACATTCTTATTTTTTGAGAAATGTCCCCTATTTTAAACACCTGAATTTTTTTAATATGATACAGGGCAACCCTATGCAGTGCAAGCCAACCAAGCTCACTCAAATGTGGCTGTGACTTGTCAGTTTGCATCCACCAATCTAAAGTCATAGTTCTGTCCTGTCCAGGTGGCAAGTGTCTGGCACCTGTAGCTCAGGAGCTGTTCCCATGTCCCTGAAAGTGCTGACAGAAGTTTGTCTCTTAAGTTACTAAGAGGCAACATGCTGATTCCACATTCCCTGTCTCTCCATGCCTTCACCCTACCCACACATTCTGAGAAATCTGCTTTTCCTGTACTTGGAATCACAACCAGATTTTAGGATCTCCCCACAGCCAGAGATTTGGACCTGATGCTCCCTTCTCCTGGGTCATCCGTCTCCCCTTCTCTTCATTAGGTCTTATTTGAATGTCAGCTCCAAGAAGTCTTTACCAGTGCCTATCAAGAACACACAAGGAGGCCCTCTTGAGCGCTCTTGGAGCACCATGACCCCATGTACCAAAAAGGAGAGGCATCTGCACTTCATCTGCCTCTCACCTGAGTGAGCCTTCCCTCAGTAGGCTAGGCTCATCAAGGGCAGTGTTCACAACTCCTGACACGAGGAAAAGGCTTATTAGGGACAATTCACATGAACATGTACAGGCTTTGCAAATGTTGATTTCATTGGTTGTTTCCATTAAAGACACTCTGACATGCACATGCACACGCACACACACACACACACACACAGGTAGGTACCTAGATAAAGCAAGAGCACGGTTAACTCTTTCTTCAAGGCCTAAGGTACCCAGAGCCTTCCAGATCATCCAGAACTTGAATGCATCTGGTCTCCTGCTACACTGGATAGACTTGTCTCCTGTGTCATAGCTGACATCATAGAATTTATCTTGCTGGAAGAGGTAAGATGCGTTGGCAGAGTAGCATTTCTTAAGAAGGTCCTTGGGAAAAGGGAGAAAGAAATATTACAAGATGGTCCACTTCTATTTTTTGTCTTTTTTATTATATGGCTTATTAACATAACAAGAACTTATTTCATGGAGTTCATAGATGCAATTATAAGAATAGGATACTTTCCTCCCTCCCCTTTTTTAATTTTATGATAACATTTTAATTTAGTTTATAGTCAAAGGCTTAATTATCCACTACAGGGAGTTCAACAAACTTAAAAGTAGGAAGACCACTGCTCAGCAGGCATGTAGACAAGAGCTATAAGCAATAATCAAATCTCAACATGTCAATTTCACTCATGTACATTAAATTTTTTATAGTCTACAGATTAGCTATCACAAATCAGAGAAAACATGTGATATTCATCCACTTTTAGAATACACTCAATTTTGAAAACACCAAACACTCCTCTAAGGCACTGTGCCAAAGGTGGGCTTTCCTGTGTTGGACACGATTGGCGTGCATGATTACCCATTGTGTCTTCCCCAGAGCTGACAATACTAGATCCAATGGGCACAGTTAAGCTGACTAGTATAGAGCAGCTATGAAGACCATATCATCTTCTTTATGATAGCTGGGTGGGTCACTTTTTGTTTTTGACAGGCAGTGTAGACAGTGGGAGAGAGAGAAACAGAAAGGTCTTCCTTTCTCCATTGGTTCACCCCCCAACAGCCGGCCAGCGCACCGTGCTGATCCAAAGCCAGGAGCCAGGTACTTATCCTGGTCTCCCATGGTCTCCCATGCGGGTGCAGGGCCCAAGGATTTGGGCCATCCTCCACTGCACTCCCGGGCCACAGCAGAGAGCTGGCCTGGAAGGGGAGCAACCAGGACAGAATCTGGCACCCCAACCGGGACTAGAACTCGGGGTGCCAGTGCTGCAGGCAGAGGATTAGCCTATTGAGCCGCAGCGCCAGCCAGGTGGGTCACTTTTGAGATGAAGAAATCTGCTTGAAACTCACTCAAAGCTCCACACTGTGTGTGTGTGTGTGTGTGTGTGTGTGTGGTGTGTGGAGGGGGGTAGATCCTGACATGCTATACATACTTTATACAATTCCATAGGCAAAAAAGTAGGTCTTTTTTAACCCAGGGGTAAAAACCTGAGGAAAGTGCTATGGATGAGTTAAATAAGAGGGAACAAGTTCTTGTCATCACAAACATCAGCTAAAATCCCAAAGGGCCTTTTATGTTTGTCTTCTATTAGCCATAACCAATTCCATTTGCATTTATTGACCAGTTAGCTCTTACAGAAAAGTAACGACTGACTCTATCCCTTTTCTAGGGTCTTCACTCACCACCCCAATATTATCTGAGTGTGAGCCATGTTACACTCAGTGTCATCTGGTGTCCTCCAAAGCCCAGATTCCCTATCCCGTCATTCATTGCCCTCACAATTCCCTGAACAGCTTCATTCCCAGAAGTACTTCTTAGAGTCATCTTCTCCCCAGTTATGTCCCTTACCCACTAGACCATGTCCCCTCTGTATCTTTGCTCACAACATTTGCTTGAGCCTGTCTCTTTTTTATTATATTTCATGCTTCACAAGAATACATGCTACCTACTTGTAACTTGCAATCTACTAGCACTAAACACGGCCTCCTCTCTTTACCTGGCTCCATTCTTCTGGGTCCCATCTCAAGTTTTTCTTCCCCTTCAACTTTCTTATCTATTCCAACGCATTTCACATACTTCTTCCTTTGGTATTTGCCTGCATCTGTTGGTCTTGTTCCTGTGCTATTCCTACCCAGTAAGTCATCCCAACATTTATCCTCTACTTGTGTGGCCGAGTGGGTTCTTGAGGGCAGGAATCCTTTTCTACGCATTTCCACACCTGGGAATGCAGCCCTTCCTGGGCACAGAGTACCCTCAGTAAGCACTCAGGACAATGGTGATGACACTCCCCGAGAGCCACCCTTCTTTCCCATTCCTGTGGTGTGTAGTGTGACTAGAATAAAGGCAGAGATGTGAGTTTTTCCTCTGGCATACCCTGTCCCAATGAAGCAAAACTAGCAGTCCTGTAAAGAAATTACAAAGAGAACTCCCCATTAGCAGAGGGGTCCCAGAAAACATTCTTTTGTGATCAGAGTAAATTAAATCTGCTTCATTTAATGGATTAGTTTGTCCTTAAAGAACGAGAAGAAAAATCGCGAGGTATCACATTGCTAATGAAAGTACAAATTTGTTATCTTCATAGCAGCCTGGTCTTCCAGGGTCACTTTACTGGATCTAAATATGTTCTGTTATCAAAAGGCATGATTTTACATGATGTGAAACACTTCATAGCAAATGTAATCAAGAATTCCAAAGTCTCATCCATCCAGGATCCACAATAAACTGAGTATGAAATAATCATCAAAGGAATACTAGTTGGCCTTTAGTCTGGTCCTCAGAGATATTCTTAGCAGACACAAAGGAAGAGCAGACAGCTCTGACTTGAACACAGAAGTAGAAAACACCCTTTCCTCTGAAATCTTTACTTTGATCTTATCAACAACCTCTTGACTGCTCATAGCTACCACCACCGCATCTGCCTACCCTTAAAGGTCAGGAGATTTGGCTGTTGTTTCTATAGCAACTATAGTTCTGGTCATATATTATAGCATTAAAAGGCCACTGCATATATTTTAAGAAAGAAACATGCACACACATTCACAACACAGGCACACACACCCTCGTACTGGCATTGTGATTATAAATTTACTTCCATCAACCATGAAAGATTCAAAAGGTCCCCAAAGCAAATGAACTTTGGACGTGTCTCGAGCAAGCTTCGGGGGCTCATGATAGTGATTGAGAGAGGGAAAAGGCCCATCCATTATCGGAAGACAAATTGCATCATCATAGGCTAATGGGGAAGAGGCGAGTCGAGAAAGCACACAGCAGAGTGAGCGATTGTCGTGCAGTGGTGACACAGTTAATTTCTTCGCACTGAAAAACCCTCCTGCCTTGGGAAGGTTTCACAAAGAACAACTGTAGGCTTGGGATTTACTTTATCGAAAATAAATGAAAACTTCCCCCAAAAGTTCCTGCTTTGCATTTGAGTTTATAACCTTGTATGGAAATGGATGTGATGTCCTTTCATTTTTTTTATTTAGTAAATATAAATTTCCAAAGTACAGTTTATGGATTACAATGGCTCCCCCCCACCATGATTTCCCTCCCACTTGCACCCCTCCCATCTCCCGCTCCCTCTCCCATTCCATTCACATCAAGACTCATATGTGATGCCCTTTCATTTTAAGGTATACATCAACTAAGAGAAGACGCTCAGATCCCCAGAGAAAACATTTTGGAGTAATTATAGTAAAAATTAACATTTTCAAAAAAATGTGATTAGTTATTATTGTGCTATCAAATAAAAGTATAATCTTCACACCCTTACTCCTATCAGAACCATAAATACTAGTTCTATGAATTTCAGAGACAAGTGTCCATTGGGAATGCCAGTTTATTTGTATTGTGATATTAACTCAAAGTGTTCTCAGAGATTAATTAGTGCACATCATAGTAGGACTTGTACAATGCAAATGAAAGAAGCTTAAACCAAAGGGGGAGTTTTTATAGGCTCATGTTTTTAAAAAACTAGTCACAGGACAAATGTCTAGCCTAGCAGTTAAGGACCCACATCCCATATGGGAGTAGCTGGGTTCAATTCCCCATTTCAGCACCTGACTCCAGCTTCCTGCTAATGCAGCCCAGGGAGGCAGCGGTGATGTCTCAAGTAATTGGGTCCCTACCTCCTCTGTAGAAGACCTGGAATGAGTTCCCAGCTCCTGGTTTTGGCCTGGGCCCAGTCCCAGCTGTTGTGGGCATTTGGGGAGTGAGCAAATAAATAGATGGAGCTCTGACCCCAACCCCTGTCTCTCAAACAAATAAATAAATAAATAATTGAAACCCAGTTACATATCTCTAGCCACCATTGGATTGGGATTAAATGATACCCGTCTTCAGGAATCTGTCTTTCCCTCTTGCTTTCTTGACTTCTCTCTTGGCTCACCTCCCTAGGCAGAAAGCTGACAGGTAGCCTGGGGACTGTGGCTCGCAGGTGGGCATGTGAACATGGAGTTGGGCCTTGTTTGGAGAGGGATGGGAAGCGGAGAAGTCAGCTCCTGCCAGCGATACCACTGGGAAAGGTTCCCTCTTCGACTGAAATTCAATTAGGCTCCTGTATGGCCTCTGCGCTGGCTCCCATCCTTGTCATGCTTCATTGCCCAGAGGTAGCAAGAATCCTGCTGAGTTGGTTTAAAGAGAATCTCCTCCCCTTGGATATCTGATCACCCGTAATATCTGACCCAATTCTTCATCTCTTACCCTTGGAATTTGATTCCTCTGACCCGTATTACATAGAAATATTTTGCAGATCTGTTTAGTCTGAATATTTTCTTACTCATTTTCTATCAGCTGACCTCATCCTACTTCTTGGCTATAAATCCCGATTTGTCCACACCATGTTCAGGATTGTGTTCAGTTCAACACTGAGGTCTCTATCCCCTGTTGCAATAGTTCCAAAACAAATTCTACCTTACCACTTTACAGTCTGGCTCTTGTTCCCTTCAACACTACCCAAGCAGAGAGAGATACACCCCGGGCCTTCCAACCTCAATCTCATATGTGAGCCTTCGGCTGGGGAAACCTAGCAGGAAGCCAACTGGCTGAGGAGTCTGAGCAAGGGAGCTGCAAAGAAGGCAGGCCCCTTTGCAGAGGAAAGTAGCAGAAGGTGAATAGTGGATTACACAGTAAAGAAAAATAGGAAAATGGCAGGCATATTATATTAAGTACTAAGACCATAACTTTTTTTTTTGCATTCATAGTAGCTAACCTACTGTCACTCCCCCTCTTCACAGAGGAACGACACTAGACCCTGCGCTGTTCTTTTGTCTGCTCGGCCCTTCCCGGGTTGGCTACCGTCCCTTCCACCTCCGTGGAAGAGCGGCTCCCCCTGCCACTTTCCCCACTTCCGCGGGGGAGCGGCACACCACCGGCCGGCTCTCTC